AAGGAAGAAAGAAAGGAAGAAAGAAAGGAAGAAAGAAAGAAGGAAAGAAGGAAGGAAGGAAAGAAGGAAGGAAGGAAGATAGATAGATAGATAGATAGATAGATAGATAGATAGATAGATAGATAGATAGATAGATAGATAGATAGGATGGCCTGAGGGCTGGGGCCTAGAGATGTCTGCCTGGGGCAGTGCAGGCTTCTGACTCCTGAAGCACTGCTTTCTGACCTGTCCCTGCTGCCACAGTGATAGTGACATTGCATCAACAGGGCCACTCTGGGTGGATGTCCAGTAGTGGGGGCGGTGATAGCAGAACAAATGATTCAGGGCCCCCTGACATCCTGACCTACTAGGTAGTTTTGGAAGAGATTGGGCCCTTGTCAGAACTCTAGGGACATGTGAGGCATGGGCTGGGTTGCCCCTCCTCTGAGAAAAAGACCATCTGGCAGGGGTAGCTGAAATCCTATGTTTAATCTGAGCCCAACATAACTATATTACCAGGCACCTTCATAGCCCTGTCACCCACCTGAAACCATTTGGCCTTGGGGCCCAGAGGGGCTGAAGATGGAGGTGGTGAGGAAACACCTGAATGCATGGTGACCAGGCATTGGCTGAGATATGAGGCTTGTCCACTCGGCCCCTGGAAGCTTCTGGAGGCAGGAGGTGCTGGTGTTGATCTTAGATAAGGCCACAAGTAAGCAAACACACAAGTTGCTGGCTATCTAGGGGCAGAGCTGGCACCCTCTAGTAACATACCTTGGCATCCAGAGTGTGGGTTAGCCAGGAAGAAGGTCTGGTGATGTGGAAGAAGTGTGGAGGGAGAAGGCACTAGAAAATGCCTAACTATCCACCCACCGTTGTGGAAGAGGGCAGGGGCTGGGAAATGCACCTTCCCCAGGCTTGGGGAAGACTATAACTCCAGGAAGGACGGGGTTTCTGCACAACACCCCTCCCCCCTTTTAAAGATTTATTTATGTATATGGGTATTTTGTCTGCTTATATGTCTGCACACCAGAAAAGGTCATCAGATGTCATGGGACTACAGTTATTAACAGTTGTGAAGCAACATGTGGGTGCTGGGAATTGAACTCAAGACCTCTGAAAGAACAGCCAGTGCTCTTAACTACTGAGCCATTATTCCAGTCCTTTCTCTACTTTTGATTGTAGTGACCAAAATCAATGTGGCAGCTCTGAGAATGGAAGCCAGGCTGTTCTCTCCTGGGAGCAGGTGTCCCAGTATTCCCTGCACACCCACTGTAGTGATGCCTCCATATGAGGACCACAGGCTGTGGGAAGGGATGCTGGGGAACAGACACTTATTCGCTTGTCACTGTGACGTCCTCCATACCAGTATGTTTTGTATTTTTAATCAACATGGCTAAATCTTAGTCTCAGGCTGAATGGGGGTAGGGGAAAAAAGGTCAGACATGATGGCTCACATCATACCTGTAGTCTAGGGGCTGAGACAGGAGGACTGACACAAGTTTGAGGCCTTTCTGGGCTACAGTGTGAGATCCTGTCTCAATAAACAAAGGCAAAACCAAAATAGGTGGACTCAATTTTAATGCTTGTTGTATTAGTCAGCGTTCTCCAGAGAAGCAGAACCGATAGAATGAACTTATGTATATTAATACTTCCCAGGGGCTCAGGAGAGAAACTACGAACGGCGAGGACTATTTTTGGGAAATAGAATCTCAGCACACTGAGCTCTATAGTCCACTTGCTTTAATTCCTCTGGCATAACATCCTATTTACACAGCTTCAGTTCTGTTCTCGTGCCTAGCTCCTTTCTTGCCTGATTTCTCTCTGTATTTATCTACTGCTCCCTCTAAGTTCTATCTTAATTCTCTTGTCTTAATTCTGCCTCATCTAGGTCCTTTTCATCTTGTTCTTATCCAGGTAGTACTTTCCCATCTGACTTCCTAGTCTTCCATCTTGTCTACACATTCTCTCTGGTCAAAATCCTCCTTATCCCTCTCTGTTCTCCATCTCTAAGTTCTCTACATTCCCTCTAACTCTCCCAGGAATCCAATTATAAACCCAAGCAATAGCAAGCCCCTGGTTGAGCAAGGTCACCAGGCTTGAATTCTACAGGGTCATAAAGGTAGGTAAGAATTTTCCACCAGGATTTCTTTTACGACCTGAAAATGGGAGTGGTAAAAGATGAGGTCAATTGAGTGCTAATGACTGGTTAGAAAAGGAGGTCTAAGCCTGGCGGTGGTGGCGCACACCTTTAATCCCAGCACTTGGGAGGCAGAGGCAGGTGGATCTCTGTGAGTTCGAGGCCAGCCTGGTCTCTAAAGCAAGTTCCAGGAAAGGCGCAAAGCAACACAGAGAAACCCTGTCTCGAAAAACAAAAACAAAACAAAACAAAACAAAAAAAAAAAGTTAGGGGTCTATTAGTAAGGTTGTATAAGAAAGGAGGGTCTCACCCTCAATTGCACAAGAAATAAAGCTATCCGCCTGACCTAGGAGACAGGTGTTATTTTGGTTTGGCTTTGGATGCTTTGTAAGCATTTTAGATAAATACACTGTTAGGAGTACTTGGAAGCACACACGAAAATCATTTTAGGAACCACCTAATATATATATATAAAAGCTAAAATATCACCAAGACTTCTTAAGCAATGGCTTGACCTTTGGAGAAGTCCTTGACTTTTCCAAGTAGTAGCTTTGTGATAGTAGCTGAATTCCATTGAGTTTTCCTGTGGCTTGCAGCATATTAAAGGGGATTTATTAGAGTGATTACAGACTTTGGTCGGGCTAGTCCGACAATGACTGTCTCCTAACAGAAAAGCCAAGAATCCATTAGTTGTTCAGTCACAATATGGGGTGTTTCCACTGATTTTCAGTGTACATTCCAATCTAGAAGTAGGCTCTAATACCAGCGAGGGAGGAATGCTTTACTGTGGGATGCATGGTGTTGCCATGAGAGTGAGGGCAAGCAGGCAAAAAGCAAGCTTCCTTTTTTCTCTGTTCTTTTATATGGGCTTCCACAGGTGTGGCTCAGATTTAGGGTGGGTCTTCCACCTACAGGATCCAGTCTAGAAAAATCCCTCACAGGTATGCCATTTTCATAGATCTGGTCCTTTCCCTTTCCTGGGATCCTAGTCCTTTCTGGGCACTGGTACTTGGTAAGGCCACTTGCCCCTCTGCCATTAAACATTCTGAGTTGTTGGTACTCTAGCCCCAGGGTCTCAATTGCTAGTGCCAATTTGAGCTATAGCATGCAGAGTTTTGGAGAGTGCTCATAAGTATAAGATTTTCAGGTCTCATCCTTGGACTTGACACCAAAAGGTCTTGAGTGCAGCTCTGGAAACTAGTTCAACAAGTGTCCTCAGTAATTCTTTTCTGGTTATAAAATAACAGTTTTTTTTTCCTTTTTAGATTTTATTTTTAATTATGTGAGTGTGGGTGTGGGTCTGTGTACATGTGGGTGCAGGTGCCTATGGAAGCTGGAGGTATTAGATCTCCTTAGAGCTAGAATTACAGGCAGTTGTGAACCACCTGATATGTGTGCTGGGAACTTGAACTCTTGTCCTTTGCAAGAGCTATATGATC